TTCCATTTGAGTTGCCCAACTTGTAGTAGTTGCTGCGTCCTTAAGTTTTTCTGATGTCTTTGTATTTGAGAGCTGATGGTTGTCTGGCCCTATGTTTACTGAACTAGAATTTTCCTTGTTCTTTTCATTCTTCCTTGTTTTCTTTTTCAGTTTTGGTCGAGAGCCTAATTTTTTTGGTTTTTTGTTGCTTGCCTATGTCTAGAGCAACAAGTTTGCGTTTTTTAGGCCAAAGAGCCTTTGTCTTGTAAGAGTTTTGAGAGAAAACTGTAGGATTTTGACTAGTAATTTTTGTTTCTATTGATTTCTGGGAGTGGACCAGAAAGAGTTTTTTTTTTTTTTTAGTTTGTCTGTTTGGTTTTTTTTTTATTGTTCACTAATGCCTGGCTCTTAAGTGTTTTTTTGCAGCTCACAGATCCTTCTAAATCTCACTAGCTCTTAAAGTCACTGGTAGTGTTTTTTTTTATATGTGGCATGGAGTGAATGGCACTGATTTGAGACAATGCTGGCCGCAGGTGCTTTTTAGTCTACTTGTTGTTATGACAGTTGTTTAAATTGAAGGTCCAGCATGATATTTACAGTATTTACAGAAAATACGCTTGTTATGTGGCTTTCTTGCAAGGGTGAAAAGATGCTATCTGTTCAATATTTTAGCAATGATCATATTACACAAGATTCGGAAAATTCTGGAAAGTCATTGTTTACAATAATTGCACATAGTCATGTGTGTTTCAGCATCATTTCTGACATGTACTAATTGGGAAGAGGTTACCGAACATGCAGGTGAATACATGTGTGGGATGTGGAACACTCTGTTAGGTTTATAGATTAGCCTCATTGGGGTTAGTAAGTCCTAAGGTGGGTGCAAAATCAGATTAGGCAATAGTGAACTACCTGTGTATAGTAAGCTACATCTCAGATTAGATAGTATCCATTAGTTTGGAAGTAGGTTATGGTCAGAGGGTTTAAATTGGTACCCCTCTAGTTGGGGTAGACTACTTAAATTAGGCACCCAAAAGATGCACTACAAATCTATAACAATATGGGTGTGGTAACATAGTAAAGTGGTGGAGTTGTCACACTCCAAGCTAGCTTGTAACTAAGGTACCAAGTTCAAATCCCACTAGCAATGTTTTAGACAAAACTATTCTATTTGTGTTATTGTTCAAAGCGAAGCGAGGACTATATGTTTACTCAATGTCCGTTGACACCACTTAATCAATTTATTATATTAAGTTATGCTACATAATTCTGTATATTTCTCAAAATAACATATTATTATTATACAAGATTTTATTAAAAAATGTAATAAAAGTTGAAGATCTGCACAACTCTTTCCTGTACACATTCGGCAGGAATAGAGTTTTTAACAAAACACAAAATAATTACACCAGACAAAGAAGAAAACTTTTTCAAGTTAAGCCCAGCAAGGGCCAAGGCCCTCATACCAAAAAAGAGAAGACTCTTTCAACTAACACTTTCAAGAACAACCCGCAAAAAACTCAAAATGACAAATCCGGTCAAGATCACTAGTAAAGAAGAAAACGACAAAAACAACCTTTCCTTATTGGAAGTCAAGACTACAAACAACAACAGCAATACTTTTAAACTCTTGGAGGTCCCCATCAATGTTCTGCAAACAGACAAGAAAGAAAGTTGGGCTGACCTGGTTTAACAGGAAAATCCTTGGGACTTTTCAATCACATCTTTACAAATAAACAAAGAGAATAAACAAAACATCAAAACAAAACACGTGACTGAAAAAGATCTGGTAGTTCCAGGCCCGTCACGTGACCAACACACAAACCCAGGGCACAGATATCAGAGGATACCCCGTATAGGCAAGTAGAGACTATCAACTCTACTTACTCTCGCAACGACAAGAAACCTCAACCTTCTTCTCCTAAGCAATGGGCAAACCTTTTTCCTAAACTTATGAGAGGACAGGCTACATACTCTACTTTTTCCCCAAGGGATCAAATCAAGTCTAAGAATGATAATGCACTTATCATTGACATATCTCAACTTCTGGTAACAGAGATCAGGTTTCAACTCTTATCAAGGAGGCCTTTGAAGACATAGGCAAAATCAACTCTATCAAACCTCTCCTAATTGAAGAAACACTATATTTAACAGATCAGTGGATCATTAATTTTGAAACCACAGATGATCCAGACTTAAAAAAGAATTTTCCACGTTTTACTTATGTAGGGGACAATAAGGTTACCACAGAATGGAGAGCAGCCCCCAGTATATGTTTTTTCCGCGACCAAGAAGGCTATATTAAGAAAGATTGCAAACAGTTTCAAGAATCTCTTGCTTTTCGAGACCATTATCGTAGATATAAAGAACAAGTCAAAATCACAAAGAACCTTCAAAGTGGTAATGCTGGTTCTCCCAATATGGAAATCCCAGCTCCGAAATCAACTATAGAGGAACCTACAAGGAGATAAATTCTCTCAGAATCAATAGTTAGCCCCCTAAATGAAGAGGAGAAGATCACTATTGCTTCATTGGAAAGTGCGATTAAAGACTTGGTTAAATCATCAGTGACATCCTCTTCCACAGAGAAAAAAGATTTTTCTAAAGAGCAAGACATGGTAATGGACAAAGACTCTGACTCTTCAGATTTTGTCTACATACAATCTCAGGATTTGGTTGTTTCAAGAGATGAGCTTACACTAAATAATCCCGTTCAAGCCTATAAAGATCAAGAAAAATCCTCCAAACCTTTTGACAACGAGTCAAAGGAGGCTGATGAAGAGGGCTTTATTCCGGTGATGAATAAGAAGAAACAAAAAAAGATCATTAACAACAAAACTAGACAAGTTCACATAAAATCTTCTCTATATAAAGGGCTAAAGGGGGATATCCATCCCCACTTAATTAAAATAGTTTTTCTATGACAGTAAACAAAAAGGTTTACATAGCAACCCTTAACGTAAAAGGGTTAAACAATCAAGAAAAACAATGGAAAACTTTAACTTTACTAAAGTCATATAAATTAGACATAATTTTTTTACAAGAAACAAATACAGAGAACCAAAATACAAGAGATTTCCTTAAAAGACAATGGCCATTTGATTCAGTTTGGGCTGATAAAACAGCTATATTAGCTAGCAAGAAAGATATAAAGCTTTCAAACCCTCAGATATCTCATGGAGGGAGAGTCATATCAACAAAAATTGCTTATAAGAATCATCTCTTCCAAGTTACCAATGTTTATGCTCCTCAAAATAGTAAGGACAGAAGTGAATTCTTCGAAAGATGGACACCACTTTATGATGAAGAATCGATAAACATATTGGGTGAGACTTTAACACCAATATAAACCCAGAAACAAACCGAGTTAGTCAAGCACCAGCACAATCAGATGCAACACACATACAGCTTAAAAGACTTACAAACAATTTTGCTGACTCAGCATCTTTTGAAGGAAACAACCCTTTTCTGACTTACCAAACTATGGCAACTAAATTAGATTATATCTCCATCGATAAAAATTATATCTCACTTGTGGAAAAAACAGAAACTTTATTTGGCAACTCGGATTACCTGTTAGTCAAATGTACTTTAAATCTTAATGACAAACCGAAGAATCCAACATTTTGGAGATTTGACAAACACTGTTTCAAAAATAAACTCATAGAAAAAGAGGTCATAGCAGAAATCCAATCTTTTAACTCAGTAGAAGACTGGGACTGGCACAAAATATGCATTCAATCAATCATAAGAGCTTGCAGAAAAACCAAAACCCTGGAAAGCAGTTTGGCTCTCCTAAATAGAAAGATAACCAAATCAAAAGAAAGACTAGTGAAGGATCCAAGTCAAACGCAGCTACATACAATAGTTAATAATTTAAATCTCCAAATTTAGGATGAATTGCTACAACTAGCAGACAAATGGCAAACATGCTCTAAGGCTAGCTGGGTGGAGCAGGGAGAAAAGTCAACAAGATATTTCTTCTCATGATATAAGTCCCAAACTAGTTGCTCAGCACTCAAGAATATCAGAGACCATGAAGTTCCACCTAAGTTTGGTGATGCTCAAATCCTGCAGTATATCAAAGAACAATATGCAAAGCTCTATAAGGAGGAAACTATTGATTTAGACACAGCTACAACTCTAACAAATGACCTTCCTACTATTCCAACCTCAGAAAATGCAAAACTTTCACGAGAAATTACACGAGAAGAAATAGTTGAGACAATCAGGAAACTTCCAAATAACAAATCTCCTGGGCTGGATGGCCTTACATATGAGTTCTACAAATAAACTGAAAATAACATTGCCCCTGTTTTGGAAACAGTCTATAACCACGTCCTTAACTCAGGCCTCTTGCCCAAATCGTGGCATAAAAACTTAATTACTCTTATACCAAAGAAATCAACAAATCTGAAAGACATCGACAACTGGAGACCGATCTCTCTGGTAAACTGTGATGCCAAGATCTTCATGAAGATTATAGCCACTAGATTAAATAAGATTTGCAGCCTGATAATCCCGGCTCACCAACAGGGTTTCATTTCGGGAAGGTCAATAACAGATGCAGCATTGGACGCACTTACAATAATGAGAAATCAGACTGACCTCACCAAGCAACATTGGCTTTTACTGGTGGACCAACAAAAAGCTTTTGACTATATCGACCTTCCTACAATTAGTCCTTGAGAAAATGAATTTTAACCTGAAATTCAGAAATTTGGTTGAGAACCTCTTTGCTAACCAAGAGGCTCATATATTCAAATCAGGCTCCTTATTAAAACCTTTCAGAGTAGGAAGAGGATGAGACAGGGTGACCCTCTTTTACCGCTACTATACATTTTGGCCTTCGAACCCTTACTTCAAGCAATTGATAAAGACATACAAGGCATATCCTCATACAATCAGACATTCAAATCTATAGCCTATGCAGATTATTTAACAATAGGAATAGGAAGTCCATCAGATTGGCTCGAAATATGAAGGTTGTTTGACTTATATGAAAAAGCTTCAAGCACAAAGATCAATAATCAAAAGACAAAAATTGTACCACTTACTATAATGGCAAGAAGAGCTAATCTCCCAGACATAATCGATTTCAAGGTCATAGAAGAGATGGATATCTTCAAGCTACTTGGATACAAAATCCATGCAAATGTACAACCAAAAAAAGATTTATGGTCCTTCACAATTACCAAACTTAAGGATACACTTTTCAAACTAGCAGCAAGAAATCTCTCCTTCAAGGGTAGAATTTTAATTGCAAAGTCTCTAATACTCTTCCACATTTGGTACACGGCTTACATTCTCCCTCCAAGGAAAAAACAAATATCAGAGATAAACGACCTGATGTCTCTTTGGATCAAAGGCAATTCCAAGATGCTTCCAAGATACACTCTCTTATGAAAAAGGTGGTCTTCAAGCCCCAAGGGTTGGGAATATGCTAGAGGCCAGGATGATCACAACATGGCTAAAGCTGTCAACAGGAGATACTATATAGGCAAAGATAGAAAGATCAAGGATTACACAATCTTTAAGCAATAAAAGAAATACTACAGTATTACAAGTCTTTACCAAAAATCCAGTAAGATCCAAAGCTTGGCCTTTAGAATAGAAACCTTTTGTGCTAGACTGGAATAAAGTAGGAGGCTCTGTCTCCTCCCTTTCATCATGGCCTTGGTCCAGGGAGAATATATACATTAAAGGGAAAAGAAGCAGCAATCTTCGAACTAAAGACCTAGTAAACCTTTTGAGGGATTCTTCCGGCACAATTTCTCCAACCCTTATACTCAAAGAAAATACTCAAATGGACTGGATTACCTGCAGAGGTATCGATAATAAAAAGAGAGATATTACATAGAGACTCGCCCACAAAGCCTTGCCACTGGGATACAGGCTTCAACAGATATCTCAGTCGGAGTTGGGAGCCTGTCCTTGGTGTAAGAATAGTATTCAGACCCCAGAACACCTTGCAGTAGAATGACAGAAGTCTACAAGTTTTTGAAAATACAAGACAACCCCACAATACCGAATTCTATAGAGGACACATATACAAAAAGAAATATTTCTCAGAAAAGGTTCCATACAGGCAGTCTATGAAATTTGGTGCTAGTATACCATGCCAAATGGGGGACAATGTTAGATCAGAAATTTCTATCACGGCAATTATTAGTAGTAGGATCTCAAGAGAAATCAAGACTTTGAACCTTAATTCCTCTATTAACCAAACAAATAGAAAAATATGTAAATATCTAATATGTAAATAGAAAATTATTTATTAATATATTACAATAAAAAGACACCACCAGCGTTCCGGCCACTCTTGTTAGGCTGGAAAATTAAAAAAAAAAACGTAATAAATCTATTTTTTAAAAAAAATCCTAGCAAAGATTCTATATAATATTATGGAGGTTTAATTAAATATATATATATCTTTTAGCCCATAATATACATACCATATATAAATAACTAATTTACAAAAACTAAAATACTATATAAATAAATTATAATAATAAAATAATAAACAAAATAAAGTAAAAAAAATTCTCATTCTGATATTTTATCCCTTGACTAGTTTCGAACCTGGGTTACTCTGCTTACAGAGTGATATCCAAACCAGTAGTCTACATCAGAATGATTACCAAATTTCAAAAATTAACTCCTTAAAAAAGATTATTTGTGCAGCTTGATTATCCAATCAAAATTTTTTTTTAAACTTTAAATTAGATGTTCAATTATCTTCGTAACGTAGTTTTTGATCCAACCAAAAATTTAAAATAATAATAATAATAATAAAACACTATTAAAAAATGCCTTGTTCACAAAAAGGAAACAACAATTGCTATCCAAACTATCAAAAGTAAGAAATATAAGCAAAGAGAAGTAATTGAGAATATCAAAGATGTTGAAAATGTAGAGAACGTAGAAGAAGACTAGTAACAATAAAAATAAATTTTAAATACTATAATTTAAGATAATATTAAAATTAATTTAATTTAATAGGTGGAATAAGTGGGTTTTGGAGAAAGCGGAGAAGAATAAGATGTTGTAGTTAGAAGAAAAGAATAGAAGATTGGAGAAGACATTGGGTGAAGTAGTGGAATCAGGAGAATTTAGATTGGAGGTTTTAAGAGGGATGTTGAATGATGAACATAAAAAATATGAGGTGTTGCATATGGCGAAGAAGAAATTTGAGTTAGGATATAATGTATTGAGGAATGATATGATTGATGTGTTAGGTACAATAGATGCAAGAAAAGAGAGAGGTAGAGAGAGACAAAGAATAAGAGAAAGGTATGATATAGAAGAGTTTGGTAAAGAAGAAGAAGAAGATGATGATAATGAAGATAAAGAGGAAGAAGAAGAAGAAGACGAAGATAAAGAAGAAGAAGAAGAAGAAGAAGAAGAAGATTATGAAAAAATACGAAGCTATGTTAGAAGAAGCATCAGCAAGTGAAGAAGAAAGTAGTAGTTTTCCGATGGTGTTAGAAGATAAGATAGGAGAAGGCAGTAGAAGTTCGCAGAGGTGGGAAGAGAGTATGGATGAGAACTATATGTGAGAAGATTAGATTTTATTTCTTTATATTTCTTTGTCTTGCTGGTTTATATATATATTAAATAAATTTTGAATTAAATTCTAAAAATCTTATTAATAATTTATTACAAATACATAATATATTGATTATAAATTTTGCAAAAATAATAAAATATAATATATTTTTATTAAAGAAAAAAAAAACTACAAAACATATTACAAGAGACATTACAAAAACATCTTAGAGACATCACACAAACACCACATAAACACCATAAAGACCACTACACAAACAATAAAAACACCACTACACATCACACAAACACCGTAGAGATGTCACACACACTATAAAAACACCATAGAGACACCACACAAACATCATAGAGACACCGTGCAATCACTATAGAGATACTATACAAATGCCATAGAGACACTATACAAAGAAAAAGTTCCGATAAGCAAAAAAGCCCCAAACAAAAGAAAATTGAAATTCAAAGCCTAACACGTACCAAAAAAGAAACAGCAATACAACAGAAAGAATTCCACCTAGCAGACTGAACAAAAGAAGTGCTATAAAAGAGATTACGCCAAATTGAATAATACCAATGATGAAATGAATACCATGAAAGGAAGTATACCAAGAAAAAAACACCAGAAAGGATGACTCCAATAGGCGAAGCACCAAAATAGGCAGCTCTATTGATGAAAAACCCATGAAACAAATCTCTGAAACCCCTAAAACAAAACTTTAGCACACAAGCACCAAAATGGATGACTGTAACAAAAGCACCAAGATAAATGACTCCAGCAACGAGAACCTATAAAGGAAAGTATTTAAAAACTTGAAAAAAAAGTTAGTACATACAAAGAAACAAGAAAGGAAAGAAATCTGTGGAACGTAATTGTTCTCAAATGAGTTAAAGATTTTGCAAAAAAAAAGTTAACTTTTATGGCAAACTCGAAAATTAAACAAAGGTAAGTAATATATTTCTAAGCATGATCATATCATATATAGACAATAATAAAAAATTTTGCTTCTATTTGAACGAAAACCTATGCGACAAGTGTCATAAATGAAGAAAAGGCACTGAAATGAGCAACACCGTCGACAAAGAACAAGCACGACTCTAACAACAAAAGAAGTACCAAAGTAAACGGCTCCAGAAATCAAGTACTGTACATATGATAAAAATTTATAGATGTTGTGTAACTATACATGCTGCACAAACTACAAATCTTTAAAATCCCACTCAAACCCAAATCCCATGTGGAAAAATCCCAAATCCCAAACTGGACAA